CACTACACTACACTACACTACACTACACTACACTACACTACACTACACTACACTACACTATACACACCACACCACACCACACCACACCACACCACACCACACCACACCATACATAATTTTCTCTGTGGTTGTCCTTCACTGCAATACTTCTTCCATTTGTACATAAAAACTGATTTTCATCATAGCCATACTCTAGTGTGACTAAGAAATAGGCTACCCTATGTTCTAGTGAGTTGCCATTTGGCCGAAACTTTATTGCATCTCAAATCTGTGGATGCAACAATTGGAGGCTCCCAGCGTCAAAGGATATTCCTCTTTAGACAAATGCTTTTGGAATTCTTAAAGTCCATTCTTAAAGACATTATTCCAATGCAGATTTTGTTTTAACCACGATATGCCAAACAAATCAGAAGTTGCTTTATACATAATTCTAGGTCAAAATCAAAACACATTATGCATTGTGTAACCAATTGGCAAGTTTCCATGAGTAATTTATCTAAGTAGGACACCCAGTGGTTTTCATTTTTTCCCCTTCATTTTTTCTCCTCAGTAACCTTCTTTCTTTTTCTAGAGAGATTTCACTGCTTTCTTTCATTATTATTTTTCTTTTGCCACTGCCAACTAGCTTTTCTAAGCCATGACATTTGCATTGCGCTATGCCAATGATAAGAATGCCAGTTTGCAAGCTTCATATTTGATAAGGTAAAGGCAACTTGTGTTTCTCTTGCTTCCAAACCTGACAGATATTGTTTTTTCCCCACCTCAATTTGGTCAATGGTTTCCTGATATTCCTTCTCTCTGCTTTTGAAGAGTGACTCTGTGTCCTTGATCACTTTCTCCAAACTGTCATCTGATTGCTGAAGAAAGAGAGAAAGAGAACAGATACCATTCATGAAAACCAAGGTGAGAGGAAAAGTCATTCCTATCACATGGCAGAAAAGATCATATAACCATTATTTCTCTTTTACAAAATCATTTATTGTATTGTTTCCAGAAAGGCAATTTCACGCGAGAATTAATGTAACATAAGTTTGGGTAAGCTAAATTCAAGCTGTAAATCAGGAATGTTCCTTTTCACTTTGCCTCAACCACAAAACTGTGGAAACTGTTTAGCAGAGTGATGGCACAGGGAAAAAACTGTCTCTATGTCTAGTTGTTTTGGGATGCAATGTTCTGTAGTGGCATCCCGAGGGGAGGAGTTGAGGATGCCAATTCCTCCCCACATCATGTTTATCTATTTATTTTTTATCTATCACATTTATCTATTTTTTATAATTGTTTGACTATCACATTTATCTAAATGTGATATACAAACAGCAAAGAAGCAGTGTGGTACAATGGTTAAGCAGTTGAACTAAACCTGGGGAGACCTCAGACATGGAAGCTTTTGAATGACTTTCAACCAGTTACTCATTCAGCCCAACCTACTTTTCAACATTGTGGGTTGTGGTAAAAAAAAATAGAAGTGAAGTATCTTTCTATGCTACCTTCAGCCCCTCCTGGAGGGATATAAATTAATAAATAAATCAGCAATAAACCGTAACAACAACAACAGGAAAGGCTCTCTTATAAAGAGATTTTCATTCTCTTAGGTCCATTTGTCAGATATATAGGAAAAGGGGTTCCATTGGGGTTATTTTTACTTCTTTTACCTCTTTAAGTAAATTTCAAATAAATGTCCTCTTCAGACAGCCTTTTTTCAGTTAGAGCCAATTTATATTATTTTAATTGTTTTTATATTATATCAGGTATTCATGATTAATTTATTGCTGTTACTTGGATAATGAGTGCATCAATTGACAATCTATTTCTTACTTTCTTATGCTTGGCCCAGTGATGTAGTGCTGCCTCCAGAGACAAAACAATTCTACAAACACAGTACAAAGACTGAGTCTCGTGTCATAGAAAATAAGCCATAATCTGGCATATGCTGCCAGTTCTAACTTCACCTTCACCTACTCTTCACCTACACAAAATTCTTGCCTGAGAACTTATTTCTATAACAGCTGGCAAGTGCATCACTCAGTAGTATAAGCAATCCTGGGGCTATTCATAACAGAATTCCAACCCAAACATTGTACAAGATGAGCAACAAATTACTTCATTAGCCAGCCTTTCAAGCAATCAGAGAAATACATTTAGGGACTTCAAAGTACGTATATTTCTCTTCTTTCTCTATTAGAGCAGTGGTTCCCAAACTTGGCAACTTTAAGACTTGTGGACTTCAACTCCCAGAATTCTCCAGCCAGCTCTGCTCTTCACAATATGACAGAAAGAGTGCTTAAGTGTTCAGAGTGTATAAAGACCTGAAAACTGTAATATATGCACCTGTGGAATGTGATTGTTCATGAAATCTATGTTCTTCCATGCTGAGGGCCTTATGTTCCTAGAAGACCTGGTATTTCCCCTGGGCCTTAGGTTGCAATGGATGGAACCCCTAACTGGATGTGTCTTGGTCTGTATTTTTGTACAGAGTAACTGAATCCCAACTTTGCATTGTGGGGGACTTCTCTGTTTATTATATTGTGAGCTGCCCAGAGTTGTTATGGAGTTTGAAGGAAATAAACTTCCCAAGAAGAGTCAGTTTTCCTTCTTACTTTGTGGGTCATAGTTTATGTTACCTCAAAGCAAAGGCAAAATCTTGATAAGTGAAGGGATTGCTAATGATCGTGTAATCCAACTTTAAATAGCCTGATGAGCTCTTTGCTCTTTTTAAAAAAAAGGATATTAAAATATGTATCTGAAGCCAAAGAAATCTATTTATTCAAACAACTTGGTCAGAAAGTTGACGTGTCTTCTATACACATGCGAACCTGTGCCAAACACACGGCCCTTCTCCCCATTAAAAAATGTACAGTACAGCACTTATATAAAGCTCCACAGTGCTTTACAGCACTCTCTGGGTGGTTTACAATATCAACATATTTCCCGCAACAAAATCTGAATCCTCATTTTACTAACATCAGAAGGATGGAAGTCTAAGTGCCAAGGTGGCGCAGTGGTTAGGGTGCAGTACTGCAGCCACTTCAGCTGATTGCTAGTTGCAGTTTGGCGGTTCAAATCTCACTGGCTCAGGGTTGACTCAGCCTTCCATCCTTCCGAGGTGGGTGAAATGAGGACCCAGACTGTGGGGGCGATATGCTGACTCTGTAAACCGCTTAGAGAGGGCTGAAAGCCCTATGAAGCAGTATATAAGTCTAACTGCTATTGCTATTGCTATTAAGTGAACCTTGAGCTGGTCAATATCGAACTCCTGGCAGTGAGAAGACTTAGCTTGCAATATTGCATTCTAACCACTGCGCCACCATGGTTCCACCACCATGATACAGGGATGAGTCAAATAACACACTAAACAACAGGAGAGATCTCATGTAGAAGTGAACAGGACAGAATCTGGAGATGACAAAAAAGCCTGCTTGGAAGACAGAAGCCATATGTTACCTCTCCTTGTGCCTCGGCAGCAGCAATAGCATAGCCAGAGAAATCTTCCCACAACAGCAGTGTTTCTTCAGTCTCCTCCCAGGTGAGACTGTCACAGTCGTCTTCAAAATCATATTCCCTTCTGAAGATAAATTGTAAAGATAATAAGTAAAAAATACTACAACAAAAGAAGTGACTTTGCTACATTTTCTTCCACATTTCCTATTAGACACACCACGTTTAGGGAAAACCTTCCAGCCTTCTCTAATTCTGGAATGGATGTTTCTTGCATGTGGTGGCCATATGTAATCCAGGAGTTAGAGCAATTGGGTACCAGTCCCTCTTTCCCAGCACACACGGATGCAAAGCTTTCAGCATGAAATTGTTTTCTCCAAGCAACTCCTCCAAAATGAAACATCTACCTGATTCTTGAATGGTCCCACAATAGGTCAGACTGTACAGAGGCTATACCCCTTTCCAGAACACAGGAGAATCATTCAATTTTACAAAGTTACAGGGTAAGGGAAGAGCCTCTTATATTTAATTTTTTTTTTAAATGACCCCTGTTTTTACAATAACAAGATTCAAATTCAGTAGTGCTGTTTAAAACTTGTTTTCAGAAACTTCATAGGCAATTCCTGAACATGAGTTTGGTGCCTTTCTTTCCCCATCCCGCTGCAGGCAGGCTTCACTCACAACTGATTCAGCATCCTCTGCATCTCTTCATTGATGCTTGCAGTGGTCTCATCCTCTTCTTCCTCTTCTACTTTTTTGGGGGCCTCACTCTCGGAGAGGGAGGTGTCCTCATCACTGACCAGCTTTCGCTCCCGTTTCCGCCCCACTGTAGCTGGGACCTTAATGGGAGACAAGTGCAGAGACTACAGAACGAAGTTGGGTTGGAGATCGTAGGTGGATGGGTGAAAAGAGATGCAAGGGAGGATGGAATGGGATGGGATGGGATGGGATGAGAGAGAGAGAAAAGGGTAGATAGGTAGAGAGGCAGGTATAGAGACAGAGAAAGAGAGAGAGAGAAGCTTATTATGACCAAGTTAAAGATGATATGATGACTAAAATGCAAGATTAGAAACCTTTATTTTTTAAAATTAAAAGCTAAGCAGCTGAAGATGGAATCGGATGGGGGTTCATATAAAAGAACTCAAATCACACATCAGAGATGGAGGCAAGAAGACAAAACAAGACATAAGGAGAAAAATGCCAGGATTTGCAGTTACGTTTTATTTTAAAGAAAAGCTTCTAACTTGGATATTTTCCCAGCTTAATGAAAATAAAAACTAACCAACTGCTTCTGTAAAGGAAGAAGAGAAAGAAGAATGTGTGCAAAATAGTGCAAGAAAGTGAGCAAGTGAATAAGGCAAAGAAAGAGAGAGAAAGAGGGTGGGGAGGAGAGGAGAGAGACGGTGTTAGAGGGACACACATGTTTTGCACCATGTCTTCCTCTCCGGCAACTTTCCCCCAGAGACGGCCCACCAAAACTGGATGGAGAGACGTCCTGGGGCTTCCTTTGTGGGAGTTGCCCTCCAGTTCAACATGCCTGCCTGATTCTGCCATAGACAGAGGTGAACACATGGAATGAAGATAGAGTGATGGGGACTTTGCCCTTAGATGTTTCAGTTCCAGATGGGAATTGGGAATTGGGAGCCTCTCACCTGAAACATTTTGATCATGTCCTCGCAGTTGCGCTGTTGGGCTACATCACACAATTTAGCTGTGATATCGATACGTCGACAAATATCCATGTCTACCTTCATGGCCTTCTCTTGGATCTTGGTGTCCAGCTCACTAAGATTCTTAACACAGGCAGAAGAAACAAAAGAGAGAAGGATTAGGCTAATCTCTCTGTAGCCTCTAGCACAGGGATGACGAACCTTTTTGACACTGAGTGCTGAAAAGGGAGCACTTTGCCGAAAGGGAACACTGAGTGCCAAAAAGGGAGCACTTTGTGGGCGTGCATTCATCTGGGCCACAACTAAGAAGAGGAGCTGCCCAGGGGGCATGTGCACACTGGAAAATAGACTTCTGGTTTCCGCCAGCAAGTTACTGCTGCATATGTGCATGCACCGATCAGCTGGCCTGCTTGCATGCTCACTCTGGAAAATGGAAGACCAGCTCTTCCAATTTCCGGCAGGGCTGCATGCACAAAGGCCAGCTAATCGTCGCATGCGCATGCATGCCAGAAACCCAGAAGAGGAATGGGCGACACTGCGTGTGCCAGGCAAAATGGCTCCATGTGCCACTTTGGACACACAGGCCATAGGTTCACCATCACGGCTGTAGCACAAATTATTCTGGTTTGGAGGTTTCATTGAGGAACAAGGTAGGGATGGGAACAATTGTGGGTGGCATCATGTTTTATAGCCAGACATTTGATTGTTCTCCAAGTATTATGGCAGTCTGTAATTATTCACTTGATGTCTCTTTCCGGCCCTGAAATGAATTTAACATTTAATTTCAATATTTGGATTTAAGACTCTGTGCAACTGTCATTGACTCTGGGTGGCTCAGGACATTAAAACAACATAACAAGAATGCAATCAAAATAGAAATATTGAACATTAAAGAAGATGGTGAATCCAGACACCAATAAGCAAACATCTCATGGTACGCAATAAGGATTCCCACCACTGTAGCCCAAAGCCTGGGAGAAGAGCCAGGAACACCACCAGGAGTCAGTTGGGGGTGAGGTGGGGGCATCTGCCTGTAGAGACTGGCCTTGGGAATAGCATGCTCACATTACTCATCAGTCCTTTGAACACGACCAGCTCTGCTTTTAGCTTCTCCACTTTCATGGCCAGCTCCTCCTGACATGCTTCTGCTTCTTGGGCTTCCTGGTTGAGAGATGGAGACGTATAGATGAAAACAGGAACTGAGACAAAGGCAGAGGCAGCTCGCAGAGAGTGGGAAGAAAAGGAGTAACCCTTACCTCATGTAGCTCGGTCACTTGGTCCTGCAGCTGAACCCGCAACGTGTACTCCTCTTCCCACCTGAGAAGTCGAACAGGCGAAGGCTATGACAATGGATTTGAGCCCAGAGGGTGCCATGACGCAAAGGGAACCCTCCCTGAGTCCTCGCTCCCCAGTGCAACCTGGTCCCAGCGGAGGAACTTTAAATGGATGTCATCCAGAGAACAGAAGTGCTGCAAATAAGCACAGTTACCCCACTGGAATGTGTTCCTATGACAGGTGGGAGTCTCACCCCACATACTTCTCTCATCTTGATCTGGATTCATTGGCTACTCTCCCCCTCTCAATTGAGAAGAGTAACCACAAACTATGTTTAGTAACTGCAGCCCACTCAGAATATACTGTCATGACAGATGGTCCCCGCCTTTCATCCCTGCAATGCTGGATCAGGCCGATGGGCATGTCTAAATCCAAGAGTTTTCCTCTCCTTTCTTCCGCATCTATACCTGGCACTCAGCTGTCTCTGGCCTACAGAGTATCAATTTTCTAATGCCAACTAACAAGAGCAAATGCTTCAGAGCCATTCTAATCTCTACAAGGTATTAAATCAGCCATAAGAGCCTTTGTCTGCAACATTGAAGCAATTCCTTTTTGTTGTAACACATTCCTTGGCAGAATTAGTAGAAAGCTTTGGACTTGGGAGAAAATGGCAATCAAACGCAACTCTACAAGAGAAAGAGAGCAAAAGACAGATTTGGAAAACCCAAGTGTAAAGTGCCAGAACCTGAAAAATCCAGAAGTGCAGACTTGTATCCCAGCCCATGATAAACAAGGGCAGAGTCGGACACCAGTTTTCATCTGATAATAGGAAGCAAGTTTCTGTAGTAATGGACTTGGAAAAATTATAGCTCAAAGGTATAGTACACACTCAGGAATTTGGGGGGGGGGGGGTGTTGTCAGGTGACTTTCCAGAAGCTAACACTGAGAATCAGTTTGGTGAAGTGGTGAAGGCAGATATGCAAGAGTAGGGAGATTTGAATCCAAGTCCTGCTGTATGCAAAAAAACAGCCTTAGACCAGTCAGCTCTCTTAGTCCTAGGACCTAGGAAGAAAAAAAATGGCAAACCACTTCTAAATATTTTGCCAAGAACACTGCAGGGATGACTTTAATCCAGACACTACAAGCCAATAATGATTAAAGGGCACATGTGCCCGTTTGCGCCTGCACACACACACACACACACATGCAAAAAAAGTGCACGCACACGCACACAATGAAGAACTGGCAGAAAATATGCAACCTAACATACATGAACATGCATGTGTTACACAAAGGTTACAGAATAGAGCTACTCTGTAGATGTAGATTTCAAATTGCTTTAACTTGGTCTGCTAGATTTTTGCCAAACTAACTTTCTTTTAACAATAAAATGGGGGAGGGGGCATGGAATATACCAGTGGTCTCCAACCTTGGCAACTTTAAGACTTGTGGACTCCAACTCCCAGAGTTCCCAGCTCCCAGAGCTTTGCTGGCTGAGGAACTCTGGGAGTTGAAGTCCACAAGTCTTAAAGTTGCCAAGGTTGGAGACCACTGGAATATACCATAAAATATTTTTCAACAGCAAGAACTGGTTTTGGTTTAAATAAAAAAATAGGTCCTGGAAGAAAGTGTGGGATGTTTCTAACTTTTTACAAATTTCACAATTCCACCATCAAATCCCAACAGTTATCATTAGAAATTGTAAGCCAAGAGTTAGCTTGAGGTAAGATGGGCAGCTTATAAATGTTATAATTAAATAAATAATAAATAACCAAATTAGAAAACAAGGGAGGCAGATTTTGCAATATGTGAAAATTTTTAATATAGTTTGCCAGAATGGTCCTATCTAACACGATAACTGCCCTAAGGTTTGATGTAAATTGAAGAGTGGAAGCTAAATTAAATAAATACGCTACTTGGACTAAAGTAGCGAGAGCCAGTAATATGTAAAGAAGTGGTCTAGACCAGTGGTTCCCAAACTTGGCAACTTTAAGACTTGTGGACTTCAACTCCCAGAATTCTCCAGCCAGCTCTGGAATTCTGGGAGTTGAAGACCACAAGTCTTAAAGTTGCCAAGTTTGGGAACCACTGGTCTAGACTTTGCATATTTGCTTAACTGATGAAAATGACTGAACGTAGTATATTTGGAAAGGCCATATCATTGAGCTGCAAACAACATCTTCCATTTACAATACAAAAATGGCACCATGCAGTCTCAGAGTAGGAATGAAACCAACTAGTCATCTAGTCCAGTGTTTCTCAACCTTGGCAACTTGAAAATGTCCGGACTTCAACTCCCAGAATTCCCCAGCCAGCATTCGCTGGCTGGGGAATTCTGGGAGTTGAAGTCCGGACGTCTTCAAGTTGCCAAGGTTGAGAAAGACTGATCTAGTCTTGCCTTTTATTCCAGACTGGAAAACCTCAAAGGATCCCATTGCATCCAATGCAGTGGTGGGATTAAAAAAATTTTACTACTGGTTCTGTGGGCGTATCGTGGCTTGGTGGGCATGACAGGGGAAGGATACTGTAAAATCTCCATTCTCACCCCACTCTAGAGGAAGGATACTATACAATCTCCATTCCCTCCCCACTCCAGGGAAGGATACTGCAAAATCTCCATTCCCTCCCGATCAGCTGGGACTCAGGCAGAGAATAGATGAGGGTGAGGCCAGTCAGAGGTGGTATTTACCGGTTCTTCAAGCTACTCAAAATTTCGCTACCTGTTCTCCAGAACTGATCAGAACCTGCTGAATACCACTTCTGATCCAATGGGATAATTTTTCCTTATAAAAAGCATATTCCCAACAATTTCTGAAGTTTCTTTCCAATCTGAGAATCTTTTGCCTTATAATTTTGAAGGGAGCATTTTATGGTGATGGTAGTTTTTCAGAACCTCTTGATTGACCCCATATTTTCTCTATTCTGGAGGTAAACCTATTCTCCAAAGCACCTGAAGGCAGAGGCAACGGAAACCAAGCAAGGAGACAACCAATCTAGAATTAAGGAGACTTTTCCTGATAGTGAGAACAATCAGTGGAACAACTTGCCCCCACAAGTTGTTAAAAACACCAAAGTTTTTAAAAAGGGATTGGACTGTTATCTGTCTGAAATGGTATATTAGGATCTCCTGCTTGAGCAGGGGGTTGGATGAGAAGACCTCTAAGGTCCCTTCCAACTCTGTTATTTTGTGATTCAGTTATATAAAAGATGTTAAGGGGCAACAAAGCTATTTATGATTCCTATACTAGGTCTCCTTAGAGAAGCAGAATGGTATAAACACAACGAGCGTGATGGAAAATGTATGCTGCTTGAATTGGCCGATCTACATTGCAAGGCCAAGAGATGAATGCCCCAGTAACTGACTAGGGATAAACAAAGCCATCTCACCATTCTCAGAAATTAAATAGAGGGAAAGGCATTTGGTCAAAAGATACAGCATGAAGCTAATATGCCAGTGTTTCTTTTCCCTCCCCCTCTGAACATTCTTTAAACACTGCATAAAATTAACCCCATTTTAAACTGCTCTTTTTCTTCTCAAACTAAAGGCCACTTTGTCTTGCTTAGTGGAATTTTTTTCTTTGGCAAAGTCCAAGGCAAATATCCTGTAGGCTGTAGGCCAGAAAAATCTGCCACTCACCCCACCCTAAAGAATCAAAACAAATGGTTGATTACTCACAGAGAAAGAACACAGAAAACTGAGCAGAATATAGAAAAGAATGACTCAAGTTGAGGGCATGAAGAAGGAAGTGAACACACACACACACACACACTCAGACACACTATATCCACTTTAAAAATGTGGGTGCACAAGGATACCAATCCAGTCTCAACTCTCTCCCTACAAATACTCTGCAAAATCTCCAAGTCCTGCAACTCTTGAACATAGCAATTTGCTGTTCTTTTGAAATATAAAAGGATTTCCCCCCCCCAAACAAATATGGGCCTTCCCATGTTATGAAAAACACAGGAAACTGCACAACCCTTGTTTCTGAAAAGCAAGATCTTTATTCTGCAAGATCTTGCTCAAGAGTCTGTTTCCTCAGGTAAGAATGTGAATGAATATTAGGAAATCTCTCTCTTTCCCTCCCCCCAACTCTTTCGCTCCCTCATTCATACAGAGAGAGCCACACAAAAATGTTATGAGGGAGAGAGAGTACAACAGGGCAAGGGTATCTTAGAAGCACTGCCTAAGTACTCTCCCTACAAAGAGATGAGAAACTGAGGCTGCTTATACTTATAGAGAGCGACTCTCTTCTTCATTATGTTTAAAATCACAAGGGACGAAATGTCAGATGCTGGCCTTTCATACGTACCAAAAAGACAGCAAATTTGATTTAAATTGTTTGCAAATGCTACCTTTAGTAAACCATTCTCCTTCACTAGCCTTCTGGAATGGGAACACAGACTTTAGGTCCCTCCCAAAATTGACATGGCCAGTGTTCAACTTTTTTCATTTCTGTCTTATTAATGGGTGGAAATGGACTGAACACTGGTCAAAGAGCAAAACCAACCAGGCTATGTGCCATTAAAAGCAGGAGAAAAAGCCAAGCTTTCTTTCCCTTCTTTTTCTACATTCAGCCTCAACTTCTCTTTGCCCTCCCCACCAGGTTTTCATTCACATCTGCAATGCACCATTGCCTAATAATAGTCTTACTGCAACAGTCTCTCCATCCCATTTTGCACAAGCCAAGCAAGCAGAGGGCATCCAGCACACCGTTTCCTGGACTGACCTCACCACTCGCATCTCCCCCCCTCAAAAAAAGGGGGGCAAGCAAACCAATTCCCAATTGAACCAAAGCAACTGAAAGAACAACAATCAACCAGCAAAGCTCTCTTCTCCATGCAACAAAGTGTGATTTCCTGAAGACATCATATTCTCAGCAGGAAAAGAAACCAAGAAATGAGAACTCTAGCTTATAGGTCTCCAGAATCAACTGCATCCAGTCCAGGGGAGCCTCTCTGAACAGCACTCTTTGTTTCCTGTATCCTGGCTTTAACATGCTCCCAGATTTATAGCGCAATAACTTAGTACATAATTGTAA